ATAGGTCTGGCTCCTTCTAATCTATTTGAATTCGTTGTTTTGACCACCATGGTGGTTATATGGTAGGATGTTATTTAAGAATGTGGGCGAACTTTAAATGGTAATTACTTGTATATGTTACCAGCAATCTATGTAATGCGGTATTCTATACAATTCCTAGGCAATGAATAGAACACCAAAAACGTTCAGGTATTGTATGCACTAGCAATATCAGAAAATGCTCAAAACTTCTGAAAGAAATTCCCTCCTGTGGCATTGAGTACTACTACAAGAATCGACAGAGTGATGCTCGTAGATATAGTCTTAGAAAAAACAGATGACGATCTTTGTCAACTTGGATAAAGCAAGGTGTTGTCAGGACATTGTATTCAAGACAACAGTTCGCCATCCCTAATCAAAAAATGACACGTGCAAGTTTGGTTTCAATTTTATAAGCTTTTTTTGATAGTAGACACATAAGGGTTTTTACGGCTATTTCGTCGGTTATTAGCACGTCTTTTATGGAACGGCTTAATTCCCTAAAATATCACATCATCCTTGGAAACAAATAAATTGTTGATCAGTTACTAACTGTCAAAATTAGCTTTGCGAGCATTATAATAAAGATGTGTTTGAAAATGAATTTTTCTAAAGAAAAAATGGTGAATATGGTGTTCGTTTTGGACGAAGCCCAAAGAAGTAGTTTCCTAGCAACTCGCATCTATAAGCAACGGTAACCCTAACATTGCGACATCCAAGGCCGGACACATTTTCCACACTACGAGAACTTTTTGAGTCAAGTGGAGCAGTGGAATATAGTAAAAAATGTATCAATATTCCAAGTGTCACCAATGAGGCGAATAAGTTGGAGGTAATAATAAAGTTGCAGGAAAATCCCCATTTGAGAGCACGGCAAATTGGAGCAGAACCTGATAGATGCAGAACTTCTGTCCAAAGGATTATTCACAAGCATATGTGCCTGCGTCCTCAGGATTTCGCAGCTCGAATGGAGTTTAGTAGAATAATGCTAAATAAAGTGAGTGAAGACAGTGACACTACTTTCCTGGATAAGGTTCTTTTTAGCGATGAGGCAACTTTTGACAGCCTAGGTATTGTCAACAAGCATAACCTGCACTATTATGCGACGGAAAAACCTTACTAGGTTAGGCAGATTTCCAAAATATATGGAGCTTGAATTTTTGGGGAGGAGTTATTGGCAGACAAGTTTTCGCGCCTTTCTTTTTCGACAACAGATTAACAGGTTCAAAATACTTGAATTTTTTGATCTCGCATTTGCCTTTGCTTTTGGAGGTTGTCAACCTGCAAACCCGGTGTTTCAACATGACGGCGCACCTGCGCATTATCATAATCGTGTGCGTTACTATTTATCTTGGCCTCCTAGATCACCAGATATGACACCAATGGACTTCTTTCTATGGGGCTACTTTAAGCAAGAGGTTTATAGATATCCACCATCTACCCCGGAAAATATGAAGGAAAGGATCAAGGATGCTTTTCTGAACATAAGGGATGTGCAACGGTCATTTATCCAAAGACTACGGCTGTGTATTCAACATGGTGGAGATATTTTCGAGCAGTTTCTGTAGATTAGGTCTTGAGGAGTGATAGTTGTTTGTTTATGTCGTTGTTATAGTTGTCTTTCTCTATTACGCTTGAAGCTGATTTATACTGTTCTGATTGTTATTAGTTTTTACGTTAAATCTGTACCCTTAGTGGCAATATGGAACTAGCCTACTGTTTGTATTTTGTTTCCATGGATGATGTGATTTTTTCCTTAATTTTGGTGTTGTGCTGTTAAAAGCGTAATAACTCAAAATCTAGTGATTTTATCTGAATCAAACCTTCTACCAAAAAAGCTCATGAAAAATTGAATCCAAACTTGTACAAATATACAGGCATTTGAAATTTTTTAGGAAAAGAACAATTCGCGTTTTTGACCACCCTGTATGAGCAAAAATGAAAATTCGAAAAAATAACAAATAGGATAAAAGCTGAGGTGTTTAAGTTTTTTTTTGATACAGAATTCAGAACTAGAAATTTCAAAATGCCGGATTGAGGGGTTGCCGAAGTGGACGGTTTTTCTAGACAAAACACCTTACATCTCAGTAGCTAATTACCAAAACCCCATAGTATGTTATATCAATCTTCTTCGTTTGAATTAGTTTATCCTAATATGGAATAAAATTTGGGGCATTTCATTAAAAAAATCACAACTTTGATATAAAGGTCAAAATTGGGACACCCTGTATAATTGCCAATATTTTAGAAATGTGCCCCCAAATGCCATGTATAACATGCCGTGAATAGATTTTCCAAAAATGTATTCGTTTTTAGTTTTACATTGACAAGTCTTATATCATGCAACATGATCTAATAGGACAATAAACTATCTATCTATGTCCTTCTGGCGGTACAGACTTTAAATATCTTGCCTAAGATACTAAAGATTTTAATTAAAATGTTAAACGTAAGCATGACTCTAGCAGAAACTAGGTCTCAACTACATCGTTATTCATGAAGTTGCCCCAGGATTAAATGATCCATAAAGTAGCACATACACTCCCAGCCACCCTCGATACATTACACGCGTGTGTAAGGATGAAATCAATGAATTAGGGATGATCGAAGCCTGTCCTTATTGAGCGCCTAATCGCATTAATAGGGCATTGCGGATGACTACGGATTACCAGAGGTAAGCTTCAATTTTAGGTCAGTGGAATGACAAGAGAGGTCAAAGCTCTTCCATAAATCAATGAAGACCTATATTTAGATAGAATTATTTGGAACACACTGAGTGAGAGAAATAGACTTCTCTGAAACAAAACGATGCAGAAGCCATAACGTATTCATAACCTGACCCTACCCATCAGGATAAAACGCATCAAGCACTAGTATTGCGAGTCTCGAGAGTCTGATACGCTGAACTGAAATTGCTCATGCATATAAGAATCACAGTCAGAAGTTATACACCAGTAGAAATAATATGGGTATATCGATTCCGAGAGTTTTCATAGAGTATCTATCCAAACTTCAAAAATGGATTACAAAAATGGAAATTGATATGTTGATATGTGTACATCAAAATGTGCTTCGTTTGCTAGATCACGACTCTATACCTTTTTTAAGTCCAGTTTTTCGAAATTTTCACTAAATTTGTTCTTATAGAATTTGTTGAAACTTAATTGATACTGAGGTGTCACCAAAAACATGGTAAATTCATTTAAGAAAAACAATTTATTAAAACAAATTATAGCTTTCTTGATACTCGAATTAAAATCCATTTTTTTTCTTTCGGAGGTTTTTTTCATGCGTTTTTTTTATTCGGTTCAATGTAGATTCCGGCGATACTGAGAACAAATTCAAACATAACCAACTAAAAGTGTATTCCGAACTTTATGCACGAGTGGATTTAAAAAAAAAAATGAAAGCATTACCCCGTTAGCACGAAATATTCATTAAATATTTATTTAATATTTAATAATATTTCATCTTACTTAAATAGGTATTTGTTTTCTTAAACAAATATTTAATAAATATTTGTAATACAATATTTCTTTTATAATATTCATTAAATATTTACTTTTCAATCAATGGAAAATATTAAATCTTCAATATTTAGAAAATATTCATTAAATATTATCGCCTACGGCGCATGTGCGTGTGACCTCGAGCGACCAATGGGATAATAGCAAGTTGGCATGAGGCGACCCGTTTGCCGGCAGCGATTTTACCTGTGACTTTCAATATGATAGCGTGCTTCCTGTGTACCTCCAAGTGGTTGATTATTTGAGTTTTTTTGTGGAAAAGGGTAATTTTTTCAATAGTTACACATAGCTTAATTTATCTGACTAGTAAACATTGTTGTGCCAGCTGGGTATAAAGGTATTCATAACACCATAGATAACTAGCCTTGAAGTGTAACAGTTACTTGGTATTGGTGGATTTATCTGAGAATGGATACGAAAATGATGTTCATAACGTCCCAGTGAAACGACATATAATCGCAACTTGATACATAAAAAATGGTTTTTTTAAATATCTCAATTATTATTTATTATTATCATTTTTGTCGTACTACGTTCAAAAATTTTAACAGTCGAAAATACTATACTTTTGTCCCTTGAATTATAATATAAAATCACTAAATAGTTACGACTAAGTCAGCTCCCTTACTAAAAAAAAAGTCACATTTCAACAAAATCAACAAGTGTTAGTCAAAGGATCAAGTTGTGCCCATGGACATTCTTCATCAAGATATCTGAATTTTCTTAAAAATTAACCAAATCTCGGACTATCATAGGCATAACCTGTGGGGTCCTTTTAGGTGAATTATGGGGCTGCTATCCAGTGACCTAGTTGAGCTACTCGGAATAACTCATAATGCTAACCCCCAGAAATACAAGCAGCTTATGTATTTAATAATACTTCATAATCCGTAAGTTTTTTTTTTCAGAGGAGTGGACTTGCAAGATGCAGAGGAGGCTTAGAATGTTTTTTTAGTAATATTTTTCTATCAAATTAAACCATTATATCTAGAATGAATTTTCTTTATGAACCCAATTTTATATAAGCATTCCTACAGGTTTTGCTAAAACAACCAATGAAGAATTTTCTATATACACTGAAAATATGTATCAGATTAATGCTTGAAAACATATTTACGAAAAATATTATATATTTCATCAAAATATAAAATTGATATTTAAAAACCTTTCCTCATATATTTTCGAAATATTTGGAAAAAATATCGGAAAAATATCTGAATTATATATACTACAAACATCTACAATGAATATTTTATAAATATTTAAGAGATATATTTATTAAATGTTAAAAAATCTGGCGCTACATATATTTAACAAACATTTTTTTTAAAAATATTTAATAAATATTTAATGCTATCGGGGTACCGGACCTATGTCTATAAGTTGAACATTTATTTTTTTGTTTAGACATGCAATATGATAAAACTGATTTCACTTTTTTGTTTTTGTTTTTAGTTCCATCAAAATTGTCGAATTCCACTACAAAACATCAAAACGTAAAACACGGTTGATTAAAAAATTGTATACATGATTAAAGTTTTTATAGTTAATTATACAGGGTGTCTCAAAAGGTACGAAATATTTGAAAATGTAATAATATATGAACAACTTTACTCACAACTTATTTATTTATAAAATACAAAAGGAGACATTTGGGAAATTACTTCTTAAAAATAACATTTATCAGATGTCGTCCGTTGTGTCGCTGGCATTCTTCCTGCTCGATATTCCGCTTTAACTGTTCCACATTAGCTGGAGCATTTTGGTATACCTTTTCCTTAAGGTAGCCCCACAGAAAAAAGTCTAGAGCAGTTAAATTTGGGATTGGAGGGGGCTAATTGATGTCACCCCGTGTAAAAATTACACGTCTGCGAAACAGCTGATGAGCCGCAGCAATGGATGCGTTAGTTGTATGACAAGTTGCGCCATCTTGTTGAAACCAACTGTCAATATTGTAAGCTGGTTGCTGACGTAGTTCTGGCCCAAAAAACTGCTGTATCATAGCGATATAACAGTCTGAATTCACAGTTACGGCCCTGCCTCTCGCGACCTCAAAGAAGTATGACCCGATGAAGCTTTGACTTGAGAGTGCAACCCATACCGTGACTTTCGGGCAATGCCACGGTCGTTTGTGAGTATACTAAGTGACATATAAATCCGAACACCCAGTTTAAATGGTTTTATTTTAATAAAAGTTGGTGAATGTATTTATCTTACTGTAAATAACAAGTGAAAAAATGTTCAGCCTTATCAGTTGGACATTCCGGTTTTTATACTGCTTTTTTTTAATTCACTAACGCTCTAAAAATGAATATTTCAGCCGCAGTAAATAATCAACGTTGGCGGATTTTGGTTCTTGACATCCTTTACGATCGGTTACGATGCCTAGAGTACGGAGACCTGTACGATTTCGTCAACTTAGTGAGTTTGATAGGGGCCGTATAGTGGGACTTCGGGAAGCTGGACTTTCTTTTCGGGCAATTGCAGTTAGAGTGCAAAGAAGTGTAGACACTGTGATTAGGTGTTGTCAGGCATGGCTTCGAGAAGGCCGTACGCAAAGAGCAAGGGGCACTGGACGCCGCCGTAGAACAACAGACCGTGAAGATCGCCGCCTAAGATTATTGGCCTTAAGGGACCGTTTCTCCACTACCAGGTCCATTGCAAATGAATGGTTTGCAGAACACGGAAGACCTATTGGCATGCGAAGTGTTTACCGACGAATGAGAAGTTTTGGCTTGTTATCATACCGGCCACACTGGGTCCTCCCTTTAACTCGAGAACACCGACGTAATCGCCTTGAGTGGTGCAGACAACGGTCACTCTGGGATCAGGAATGGAACAGTATTGTCTTTAGTGACGAGTCTCGATTTTGTTTAGGCATGCACGATGGTCGTGCCAGGGTTAGAAGGCGACGTGGTGAAAGGAGGAATCCACAGTTTTTTGTTGAAAGACATGTTCATCACACTGTTGGAGTTATGGTTTGGGGTGCTATAGCTTATGGTTCCAGGTGACCTTTAATCTTCATCAGAGGTAACATGAACGCGCAGCGTTATATCCACGAAGTTCTAGAACCCCATCTTTTACCCTATCTAGACACCCTGGCAGATCCAACTTTCCAACAAGATAATGCCCACCAAGATCTCCCGACTTATCCCCAATTAGCACGTTTGGGATATGATGGGTAGGAGATTGCTCAATTTGCAACGTCCTCCTCAGACTCTAGAAGCACTTCGAGAGGAGTTGCTGGTTGCCTGGAATGAGATACCATAGGAGGACATTGACCACCTGATCAGAAGCATGCCTAAACTGTATCCATCGAAGAAACAAAGTAAAATCAAACATATACACCCGTATTGCACGTGATCAAGAACTTAACCGTAGGAGACGCTACAGGGCCGTATCAAGCTATTGTGACTGATCTATCAAAAAATGTCGTACAAGATATGTGTTGCTGTAAATTCTATCAGAAGCATAGTAAATTATCATATTTCGACATTAGGAATCAGTGCAAAAATTCTGTATTCACCATTTCAGCAAAATGTTACTAAAACGCACACGAAAAAAACTTGTGGACCATCTCAATTGAAATTGTTCATATTTTATTATTAACTTACATATATACCCAATAATATTTACAAATCAACCTTCTATTCACAATTCAAATTTTTTTGAGCAAATAGAAACTACAGACGTAGTAGTAGTAGTACAAAAGTTTATTACAGACTCCATAAAGTTTGTTAGTTTGATTGCTATTAAAATTTACATGAGAAATAGGAAGAAGGTCAAAATGGCACTATTATGCTTTGGAACTCCTAAATTAACCCTAATTTTGTGTAATTATAAATTTGGAATTTCCACATTAATAACTAGAAACTTACACTTTGATTGCAGTCTATAATGAACTTACCTGTCTTGCCAAAAAGCCCGTTAAACTGCCAGTCTTAATGGTATCAATCGATTTATATGCTGTATTCCGAGGAGCTTGAATCATCAGAATTGTTGATGTCAATTATAAGGGGTTCAACTTGGGTGTCAATGATATTGTCCATATCCCACATTTTGGTTTCAACCTTCTCTTGGACATGGTCAATACATGTTCTCCATTTTGCTGGCGTAATTCTATCGACAGCAACATCAAACAGTTTTTTAAGGTCAGAAAACTTAAAAGTGCTGTTATTTGACGCCACGTATTGCTTGATGTCGGCCCAAATCAACTCGATAGGATTCAGTTCGCAGTGATAGGGAGGCAGCCTGAGAATCGTTTTATTTTGTTTTTTGGCCATTTCGTCAACAATTTTTAAATCATATTTATACTTATGTCGCTTGACTATATTTATCAGCTCAGCTTTGACCATTGTTTGGTCGAAGTCGATCTTCTTTGAGACAAGCCACTGTTGAATGTCTGCCTTTTTGGTGGCCATTGTTGGAATTTTTTCCACTTTTCTGGAGTGGTACGGGGCATTATCCATCACAATAATTGCGTTATCATCAAGTGTCGGCAAAATTTTTTTGAACCAATTTTCAAATGAGTTACCATCCATTTCTTCGTGATAGTCTCCAGTTTTTTTGGATTCAAATGCCCACAATGCTTCAGGAACAAATCCATCTATGCTACCTATGTGGCAAATGATCAGGCGTTTTCCCTTGCCTGAAAGTAATTAGTTATTTTACTTCTCAGCGAGCGCACTAAATGACGAAATTAAGCAACTTACTCTTTTTAGGTTAGTGTAGGATAGGGTCTTAGATTAGTTTTTGGGTGAAGGAAATACTCAGAAACTTGAATGAGATAGCAAAACTGAGTTCGGAGCTTCCAAATCATTGATTCGATCAGAAAATGAATTATCTGCATCCAAAAAAGTTCATATACTTCGAAACTTACCTGCAGGATTTTTCAATCCCGTCGAAAGGCCATCTAAAAAAGCCTGCCTTGAGGACCTCACAGATCTGTCTACCCAAACCTTTCCCTGCGTATGCCCCGCGTTCACCCATGTTTCGTCTAAATAATAAATTTTTCTTCCTTCAGCGCGGAATTGCCTAATTTTTCTAAGGTATTCTCTCCTCCAGATAACAATTTCCTCCTTTTCTATCAATAAACTATTCCTTCCTCTTTTCAAAAATCGAAAGTCTAGTTCTTTCAACAGCTTATGGAACGTAGATCTTTTAAAATTTGGCAGGTCCTCATCATCATTCACTTGCTTCAATATTTTATCTATTGTAGGTATTTCATTCCTGAAGAAAAAGTGATGTACTTTTCTTCTAATGGCACTTTTGTCAAAGTCATCTTATTTTTTCGATGATTTTTTTTCTCGCTGGATATGTTTTTGGCTCAGATAGTGAGTGATTTTGTCTATATTCCTTGAAGATTTTGTAAACACTTGATCGACCTACTCCAGAAATTTCAGCAACCTTACATACGATATTTTCTATAGCCAATCCACTATTCTCTTGCATCTGGTTCTTGTAGATATTTAGAATAATTTGTTATCACCTGCGCTAAGATGAAGCTTTTTAGCCCTTTTTCTGGGTGACGTTAAGCTGATTTCAACCACTTCATCAGCTGTATCTGTGTCAGACATTTTAGACTAATATTAAATTTCCGCAAGAAAAATCAAGTCAAGACGTGCATAAAACGTTCGCGCTCATAAACGGGTATCCGTAACTGATTACAATCCTGTGCGTGGTGACGAACCATCAACGTGACGCTGTGAGTTCCCTCTACTATGCAGCGTTGCCAGGCTTAATGTCACAATGATCATGTTTTATTGGGAAAATTGTCAGAAATCGCCGAATGTTGAACAGAAACATTACAAGAAGTCTAACCTTGAAATGTGAGGCTACAAATCGATATTCTTATAGGGGGGAAGGGTAGGGAGCTGTTATGGTTCCTAATAACCTTGGTGAAAGTTGGAAACGGTAGTATCATATATGGCATACATTCGGTTGAAGGTGTGTGCACGGAAAATAGATTGCGGATAGGATTTTAATAGATAAATCTGCACAAAAAAACACAAAAGGAGATTTTTGTATTTCCCTGAAGAATATCTCAAGGTTATTTCAGATGTACTCATCGAAACTTTATGGAAGGATTATCGAAACCTTATTTTCAACTGCGATAGGGCCACATATCAACCACTGTTTACGATTACTTTGTAGCTTCGTTAGATACACTTTAGGCGCGTTGGAGAATGCGTAGCACATCAGGGTGCATCCACACATTATTAAAGGTCAAAGGGCTTTAAAGCAGTGCAATCATTTTGAAATTTTTATCATTTACTTATTATGGTTCATTAAGTACTTATACAAAATTTTATTAAAATAAAACCATTTTAACTGGGTGTTCGGATTCATATGTCACTTAGTATATTATGCGGATTTTCCTCTCCCCAAATCCTGCTATTGTGCTTGTTGACATGCTCACTCAAATAACAATGAGGCCCATTCTTCACTAAAGAACATGTTGTCGAAATTATCAAACCTCGAGACAAAATCACTATCT